AATATTTATTATAACTCTAATCGAGACAAAAAAGGAATTTTATTATTAAACTATCACAGATATTAATAAATTTTTAGTATTTAGTGTATGATTTTAAAGAGCAAAGATGGATACTAAGTGTTAGCTACATAATCTCTCTTTACTGTTTTGTATTACTCTACACATCTCCTATATTGTTTTGGCGCACCCATGTAATACTTGTCACACAATAACTCCTTAAACGATGATAATATATAGTTATATAGTGGGACTGTGTAGTTATTATCAAGCAGCTTTTAGAGGAGGCAGGAAAGGACAGCTGATACATCGAGCCGTTAGAAACGGTCAAACAAAAGAAGCAAAGATCCTATTGGAAGAGGATATAAATGTTAATATGATAGATGAATATGTGGCAACTTCTTTACATTGGGCAGTTAAAAGTGGTAGTGTATGTTTATCAAAGAATTTATTAGAAAATGGTGCAAATGTTAATGCAGTAGAAGGTGTTTTAAAAAAAGATACTGTAGTTCAAAAGTACTACTACCAATCTCATCAGTAACTCAAAGAGCATCTTTATAGCTTCGTTATGGCCTACAATATAGCCTACAATTTAAAGCTTAAGGGTTTCACACTTCTTGAATTTATATGTGATTAGTGGACGATATTTCCTGATTTATTTATACCCAATACTCGCCTTCATACTTTGGAAGGATATAATGGAAAATATAGAAAAATAGCGGAGCGAAGCTCATATTAATCCGGATGCAGTAAAATTAAGTGGTAGCAAAATGCTAATTGGTTTACTGAATATAGATTTCCCAGTGCCAGTAGCTCCACTAATCAACTAAATGTAGTTATTGATAACGGTAGTAAAGAAAGCAAATATCCACTTTTTCTCCGAACCTGGGATGCAAGGCAATTTCCTTGCGTTCAATTATAAGATGCGGCAGAGTTGTTATTTTTTTTGATGTTGTGCAGCAGGACTTTAAACTAAAATTTGCGCAAAGGGGTGTGGGAGTTGCTTCCGAGATATCAGTTGATGACGTTGTCTCCAACCATAAATTAAGCAAATGCAGTGCATAAATGTTAGTCAGCTAGACTTAAACAGTAAAGTGAGCATTATTTATTTTAATCTTGATCTCAGTTATTCGATTGATATAAAACATGCTGAGCCGCTAAGCAAAGGTGTTGCAGCAGCAGTTGAAATGCTTATAATTAAGTAAGAAGGACAAGCACAAAACATCTCTGAAATTTTGTTTTACTTATCCTGGCGAGAGAGAAATATATAATTTAGAATTACCGATAAAGTATGCTTGGCTTTCGCTCGGCAATATAGCGACGATTGTGAATGGCGAGAAAAAAAACATTCGTAAGGAATGCAAAACAAAATTTAAAAGCATGTCTATCCAAGTGAGTGGTAGGATATGATCATACTATATATAAGCTATCTTTTCCTGCCACAAAGTCTCTTGCTGGTGAAGAGGAAGTCTGGAAAGGTGTAACACTCTTTGTTTCTGATGATGGCGAGAATTATAAACCCATTGCAAATGTAAACAAGGAACCTACTTGTGGGTATATAGTTGAATTTAACAATGGAGCATATTGTGTTAGTATTATACACTGGTAAGTTACTCAATATGCAATGGTACTGATAGGAAGAGAAATGATACTATTAAGAGTAGTGAATTAATAGGTGAAAATAAATTAAATTAAATGGTCTTACAAGAGGTCAGCAAAGTGCTGAAGGATATGCTCATGTTGCGGAAGAAAAGCTCATATTACTTGATGACTCAGTTACATCTTTTGCAGTTGAATTTTCAGTCTATAGCTCGAATACACAGGGCCTAGATAGAGATGATGCTATTTCCTTTAACAAGGATATTATTATCTTAGCATATAATATTAATTTTCAGGAGGAATTATACTTTATGAAAAATGGAAAGAAGTATTAGATGATATAAGTGTTGCTCAAAATTTAAGCTATTAAAGTATAATTGATAGAATAAAAGAAAAATTGAGTGCGGAATATCAAGATATATAAAGAGTGGAAGAAATTGGATTTAGTGTCAATTACCTATTTCCATTTAAAAATGGAGATATTCACAATAAATGCACATATCAGCAAGAAATGCAAATATTAATGGAAGGATAAAGTGGAGCAACTCCTTTGTATGGAGCTGCTCATAATCATGTAGATGCAGTACTGCCCTATTGGAAAAATATGTAAATCCTTTATTGCAGGATAGAAATGATAAAATTCCAAGAAATTTGACTTGTGAAAATGGTATAAGACATTTTTTGGAAAAGCAGAAAAAGACAACTTTTTAAACCAATGGTAATTAGTTTAATTATAGCAACTGCTTTGATGGCAGTATTGAGTGTCGAAAAAGGGAATGTTGCTTTGGGGCAGTATTTGTACGTTAACATTTGCTGTATTAATACTTGGTGTTCTTGTGTATAAATCGTTTGAATGCAATGCTGATATTAGAATATATAAAATACAAATCGATGGAAGACGTAATATTTTACACTCAATCTGACAAACAGAGATATTCTACAAAGCAAAAATTAAGTAAATTGCTGTGTCGTTGCATAAAAAACATTTCTAAATTTTCTAAGTATAGTGTTATGATATTTAGTAACACAGTTTTAAAAAGGATTAGTGCTAGTTAACAATATTTGTTATTCTTGCAATCATTATAATGAATTTGCTTTAAGTAACATAAACATTGTATTTTAGACAATTAAGGGTTTAAAAAATAGAAGAATTTGAAAAAATCGTGCAAAAAAGTGAGGCTGTAGTGGAAAAATGGAGGCAAAAAAAGAAAGGGCACGGAAGAAAATCGCATGGTAAAACACTAGAAGGCGAAATATTCATGCATAATACATCCATCTTTGGGATTTTTATTTAACTTGCACAACTCAAATATCTGCTTACTACTGAAGAAAATGGAGTCATTATTAGCCAAAAAAAATTACTATACAAAAATATAGAAAAAAAACCGCTAACACCTAACATCAGAACAAAAGGAACATAATCGGAAGTTGATATCGTTAATGGTGAGGGTGAAAAATAAGATACGAGAGATCAAGATTTTTAACATTATATCAAATGTCTATCGCAACTTTGATAAGGAGCATAACATAAGATTCAACATTATTACTCGCATTGTAAACCCAAAGCACTTCTTCTAACAGCTTTTTGGTTGCGGGACACTATCTACTTANCCTTAGCTTTCTTTAAAAAACCTTCATTAGTTGCATAATTATTTATGCATCTAGTCAAAGCGGATCTAAACCCTGCCAAATGTGTGCCACCATCCCGTTGCCTTATATTATTTGTGAAGCATAACATGTGCTCATAATAAGAGTCATTCCATTCCATTGATACTTCTAAACTCATACCAAGATCTTCCACACTACCTTGCATGCTAGCGACTTTAGTTACTGGTGTTTTATTTTTATCTAAATATCGCACAAAATTTGCTGTACCGAAATTTTCGTCAGAATGATCGAAATAAGATTCTATAGGTGGTTCATTGCGTAAATCATATAGAGTAATATCGATATTCGAATTTAAAAATGCTAACTCTCTTATGCGACTTTCAAGCGTTGAATAACTAAAATTAATGCCATTAAAAATCTCGCTTGATGGCATAAATGTAACTTTAGTACCCCTCTTATTTGTGTTCTCGTTTAGCGCCCTTAAAGGTTCAATGGAATTACCATTTTCAAAGCGAATGAAATGTTCTTTTTTATCACGCCAAATAGTCAATTCTAGCCAATTTGATAGCGCATTTACAACTGAAATACCCACTCCATGTAAGCCACCAGAAACTTTGTAAGTATTGTTATCAAATTTTCCACCCGCATGTAGTTGAGTCATTATAACTTCTGCCGCTGATATACCTTCTTCTTCATGAATACCAGTGGGAATACCACGACCATTATCAGTAATAGATATTGATCCATCTTTGTTAATACTAACTTCAATTTTGTTGCAATGTCCAGCTAGGGATTCATCTATCGCATTATCAAGAACTTCATATACCATATGGTGTAATCCAGATCCATCATCGGTATCGCCAATATACATACCCGGACGTTTTCTTACGGCATCAAGACCTCTAAGAATCTTTATAGAGTCAGCATTGTAACTATTTTCCATTGAGTTGCCTTTGTTATGAATATTAATAATGCTACACTCAGATACGCTAATTAGCAACATTAAACTATTTTTTATGGTAATTTTGCCGTCAGAGCTCTCTTTAAATATATCCTTGCCTGCGCTTATCAGAAATAGGTTATGCGATAGGTCTGTTTAAACAAGTTTAAGGTCTATCAGCTGCAGATTTAGTGGGTTAAGAGAAATTCTTCGGCTTTTTCTTGTCTTATGATAGACATTGCGTGCGAGGGGAATATATCTGGGATTTTTTTGCTACTACCGCTACTCAACTCGATATATTTTTGACTGCATTTTAGCGAGAGCAATAAGCTCATCTGCTGACATATTGGAGGATTTACTTATTACTTTTTCAAACTCCTCTCTAATATTTAATACATTAGTTTATGCCTCTAGTAGTAGACAGATTGCTCTTTTGTAGAAACATGCTATTTACCTGTAACTTTTTTTACTAGTACGTCAAATAACATTATTATACCATTGAAGTCAATGTTAGTATTGTACTAAATTGGCTAATATTTTCTTGCTTTCTTTCTGCTGATTGTGCACTAACAAATACTCCTTAAGTAATCCTATTGATGTTGCTTTACTTGCTCCACTTGTCGCATATTTCTCTTGTATAGCATGGTTGTTATTAGTCTCTTTAATTTTCTCTTATTGCCATCTCTTCTATTGCTAATTTCTCTTCATTGTGTGCAACATAAGATTCTACGGTTAGCACTGCACTATCTGAGTTTTTTTTTGTATCTATAGTTCTAACTTCTATAAACCAAAATTTAAAGAAGCAAGAAGAAAGTGGTAGTTTACCAGTTAATAAACAAGGAGAAACTCAAATGAAATATTACACATAAGAAACAAAATGGAAACAAATTTTTGCAAATTTGAAAAGTATAAAAAGAAATACACAGTAAAAATGAAGATCATCTAAGAAAACTCATGGAATCAGTGTAGCATGTGACACGAAGTGGTTGCCAATGAGGACTTTTATTAGAAATATATGGCAATTACAGAAGTGTACATAAGAGATTTAAAATTGGTATAAAAGGGAATTTGAGAAAGATTGTTAAAATATACATAAGATCCAGATTTGGAAGTGCAAATAATTGTGGGATAATTTGTTTTTATTAAATTGCCAAAATTTACAAAAAAAATGCAGTAGATCATATAGAAAATACCATAGAAAGATGTTGCTTTTTCTTCCGTGATACGGAAGATACTATTGAAAAGTTGAAACAAAGTTCTTTTTTTTACGAAATTTTCTTTGCTTCGCTTAAA